TAGTGACGAAGAAAGGCCTCAGAAAATTCCTTCCACACAGTTGGAGGAGCGTTCGGACCCCTGGATCTCTCCCAACTATCATAACAGAGAACCGCTAAATCCCGTAGTCGATAAGAATCCAACCCTACTGCCTCTGTATCACTAGTATGCATAACTCGCAGTGTACGATGAACCTGATCAATATAAGTCTGCGGGTCCTCCTTCGGATCTGATCCGGTAAACACAGGAGGGTCTAAATTAATAAAATCACGAAATCTCGTACTAACTGGTTTATCAACAACACCGGTATTCTGCCTTTGAGACTGAGCAGCTACCAAGTTAGTCAACAACTGCACCGCATTCCGCATATCTTGGTTTGTAGTGCCAAACGGCGGAACTGGTGGTGTTGGGCGCCTTCTAATATCCTCTGGAGGAGACGGAGTAGATGAGGTATGAGACGGCATCTCACTCTAAGCCTCACTTTGGCCTGCTCTGGCCTGGGGCACCTGACTGGTACCCTCTCCTGCAACTGTATCAAGCCGTCTACTAATTGTTTGCTTCCTAGTCGAAGGCATCGCTGAAAGAAAATAAGGTGAATATTAAAGATGAACACTTACGACTCAACTCTACGCACGATCTAGATTCAGGAAGAAGGTAATAACCCTAGATTTCATGTAGCCTCCTGATTATAAGTGTGGCGTGCTACACATCCATAATCAAGACTCTACTAGACACGGCTCATAGACAATCCCTAGGACAGACTTGCTCTGATACCAAGTTTGTCACGATCCAAACTGGAGGGCCATGACTAGCACCCGGCCATACTTACCGAGCACCAACATACATTTTATCTAACCTTCTTTATTATCCTTTAGGGCTGACGAGATCAATATAAATGGTAGACATGGGTCGTGGACAACCAACAATAAAATATGATGGCATGAACATACATAACATGGGATGACTAAACAATCAAGAAACTATATATAAGGTACGAGCTACCACGCTACCATGAGAGACTATACAACAAAAACCAGCCGACAAGGCCTACCAAACTATACATGAGTCGACACCTGTCTATGAGCCTCTAAAGGAACATAAGTGTTGCAACATAGCCGGAACAGGGCCCCGACATACCCATAATGTCTATAACAAAAATGCATACCAAGACCACGGCAAGTCCGAAGAAGGGATCTCGCCAATCACCGCTGAACTGGACAGCCTACTATGGTGGGGGAGCTGCGCCTGCCTGTCTATCAGGACCTGCAGCACGACATGCAGCGTCCATAAATAAAAGGACGTCAGTACGAATAAAGTACTGAGTATGTAAGGCAGGGAACCATAAGTACGAACAGTAATGTAAGCAGGGATAGAGAATAAACAACCTGTAACATCTGGGTACCTCTAAGGACTACTGACATGAAATGCGTGATACATATGTATATATACATAAACTTTTAAAACATACGCCTCTGTGGGCATCATCATCATCATATCGTACCCGGCCGTAATAGGCTAAGGCTCGGTAGAATCGTACCCAGCCACGTGGAGCTCGGTAAAACCCAACTGATCAGTGGTTGCATAATAGGTGCCATACCCGGCCGTCTATAGCGCGGCTCGGTAGAGTAAAATAGATACATATATATAATGCATGCTCGACTCATGGACTCACGTTCTAAACCTTTCGGAGTGACGTAAGGTCGGTATCCTCTGTACACGTTATTAGGACTAACTCTTCACCATGAACCTTATAAGAATCAGGAAGTACCAATAACATTGATGACATAAGAATAAGAGAAGCAACATCAACATCATTCGTTCCATAAGAGGGGAAACAATGTAAGTACTGCTAGCTTCTAAGAGTAGAGTATCTTTGGAAGCTCGTTCATTACATTATGTACAATCGGAGTCGTGCAAAGGAAGGAAAGGGATAGCCTCACATACCTTGTATATACTGCCCCAATCTCAAGCTATGCAATTTTCACGACTCCTTAGTCTACAATAAGAGAAACGATACTATAGTTACCATTCAAGCGTCATAACTATTATGTATCGACCACAACCTATTTTACGATGAAACGGACAGCACCTCCCCTATATATATGACTTCACACAATTCCAAACAATCACCAAACAGCCTAAACAACATCAATAATAATCATATTGAGCCTCCCAAAATAGTCCACGCACAACCTAATCACTTCATACATACGACGGCCACCGTAGTCGTGTCAAACGACCCGGAAATATTACGAAGAACTACCAGCCCACAACCCTAAATCTATATGGTGTTTCTCCACACCTTTCCTCATCCAAAACTCCACAAAAAGGTAGTAAAACACGCAGCCCAACAGCAACACAAAACAGTCCACAAAACAGTCCGCTACAAGTGAATAACTCGAACTCACGGCTTCCGATCACCGTCCCGTGAGTTCTTACATGTATAGAACGAATTACCATGAATTCACAGCAGAATAAATGTATGAAGATAGCAGTAAACTCACCTTACTTGTTGGATAACTCAACCCTTATCTTGGTTCTTCAAACTCTAGGGTTTACCCCCAATTTGAACTTGAAAGAGAGGAAAAATCAATTAGGGTTTGTGGATAATTTTTGGGAGGAAGTTTGCAGGGGTTTAGGTCTGGTTATTTGTGAAATATAATCAGGGATATATTTCAGGAGATAAGCCTTTTAATGGGCTCTTTGTCTGACCCGAAATTGCCTCTTTTTGGGCTATCATTTAACCAAGTAGGTGACCCACCTACTTGTCACCTAGCAGCTTGTGCAGTCTCGCAAAAATATCTATATCTCTCTACTCCAATGTCGTATTGATAAAAGGCTTAATGAGTTGGAAACTAGACTCATTGATCTTCAATTTGGTGGGTATATCACCCCGTAATTCCAAGTATATTGGGAGAAAAGCTTAATAACATTTGACCTAAAGTTTAAGTAAAACTATGAACCTAAGTTGCAACAACTCTTGTCGACTTTTGTTTCATAACTCGTTTGACTTCAAGACTATAATACGGATATTTTATGATTCATATACCTTAAAATACGACCTCTTGAGAGTATTAAGCACCCCTAGGTTTACCCAAAAATACGACCGACAACATCCTTGATTCGTTTAACTTCTAATACTTGTTAACCACCCTTATACACCTTTGTATCATTTAAGACCAATAGGATTAACCTCTTATCATCTTAAAGATAATCTCTTCATGGATTTACGTCGACGACCTTATGGCATGAACTAACGTATGTGAATATGGGTTGTAACAGCTTATGAATTAGAACTCTTGCCCATAGACTGTTGCTATTTTTGTAAGTCCTCCAGGCAAGATTGGTAAGAGATGCCTTGTTCTTAATACTAGCCTTTTGGAGACCAAGCCCTCCATCAACCTTACTCTTTGTGACCACCTCCCACTTGATTAGATGGAGCTTCTTCTTCTCAGGAGTGGTGCCCCAAAGAAAGTTACTTTTGATTTTGTTAATTTGATTGGTAACTTTAGTGGGCAGGTTAATGTACTACATGACATGGCTAGGAATGCTGCTTAAAGAGGTTTTGGTCAGGATTGTTCTTCCAGCCATGGTTAGGCATTTTGTTTTCCAACCAGCCAGTTGGATTGCATGTTATCAATGATGAATTGAAAGTCTGCACTGGTTTGTTTTTTATGGAGGATGGGGAAACCAAGGTATTTACCAAAGGATGTTGTGTGTTGGATGGACAGTGAGTTAAAGTGGTTCTGGATGGAGTCCTGTGGAGTGTTTGATGAAAACAAGACTCTGTACTTGGCAAAATTAATTTTCTGGCCTGACTGCTCATTGAAGTTCTGCATAATGGAAAGTATGGTATTACAGATTCTGACATTAGCTTTAGCAAAGAGGGTTGGTTCATCTGCAAAGAAAAGATAAGATATTTTTGGGCCTGATCTGCTTATGCTTATGGGTTGCCACTGGTTATCAAGAACAACCTTATCAATAGATCTTGATAGTCTTTCCATGTACAAAATGAATAGGTAGGGAGACATTGGTTCTCCCTGCCTAATACCTCTTGAAGGTTTGAAGGAATCAGTTTTCCCCCCATTGACAAGAATAGAGATGGATAAAGAAATGATACAGGACATGATGAGCTTTGATAAGCCTTGGGGAAAGTTGAAAGCAGCAAGGGTGTCCCTAATAAAGGACCATTCCAGCCTATCAAAGGTCTTCTCTAGGTCAATTTTAAGGATCATATTGCCATTTTTTCCTTTCATTTTTCTAAAGTGAGTGATGTACTCTTGGACAATGATGGCATTATCACAGGCTCTCCTATTTGAAAGGAAGCTGGCTTGGCTTGGCCCAATGATATGAGGCAGGATAGGCTTTATTCTGTTCACTATAATTTTTGTGACTGACTTGTAAATTGTGTTACACAGTCCTATTGGCCTAAATTTTTTTAACATTGAAGCTTGGGGGCATTTAGGGATTAGGCACAATAGAGTTTGGTTCATGGTGTCATCCATAGAACTTGAAGAGAAGCATTTTTGACAGAAGTTTTTGACAGAGTCACGTACTATGTCCCAGTATTTTTGGTAAAAGAAGGGGTGGAGGCCATCAGGGCCAGGAGATTTAAAAGGTTTATGGGAGAAGACTGCCTTTTTTATCTCACTCAGATCAAGAGATCTGTCCATAAAGGCTTTTTGGCTTTCAGATAGATTGAGGGACATAGTGGAATGGTTTGAGAAAGCCCATGGGGCTTTGGTGTGGGATGTGGTATATAGATCAGTGAAGAAACCCAGAATTGCTGCTTGAATATCCTTCTGGTCATGGAGCCAGTTTCCATTCTCTTCTTTAAGAGAGAGGATTCTGTTCCTTCTTCTTCTATTGAGGGTGGAGGTGTGAAAGGATCTAGTATTAGCATCACCCTCATTAAGCTATCTTATCCTAGATTTGAGCTTCCAGAAATCCTCTTCATTTTTAAGGATTAGGTTAAGTTCAGTAGTTAAATTAGTCTCAAGGTGTAACAGGTAACTACTGAACTAGTAGTTAGGAGATCTCTGGATTCCAGAAATTCTAGCTAGGATTCTTCTCTTTTGGTGAAATATGTTACCAAAGATTTCTTGGTTCCACATGGTGACCAGAGTCTTGAAGGAATCAGTGGATTGAAGGAGGTTGGAATGATCTGAGAATGCCCTATTGATGATGTTAGGAAAAGATGGGTGGCTAGCCCACATTGGCTCAAACTTGAAGGGCCTTGGTAGGTAATTGTTTGGAGAGCCTACCAAGTTAATTTTAAGAGGACAGTGGTCTGAGTGGGTCCTAGGGAGGTGCATCACAAATGCCTCAGGGTACTGCTGAATACAACCTTCATTGGCGAAGCACCTATTTATTCTTTCCAGGATTAGAGAAGTTCTATTACTGTACCTTTTATTAGTCCAAGTGTATTTACTTCCTTTGTAGACTAGGTCTAAAAGGTTACACTCATTTATACAGTTCCAGAACATATTGCTGCGGCTGAGGGTTATGGGATTGCCCCCAAATTTATCCCTGGCCTTCAAGACTTCATTGAAGTCTCCACCTACAAACCATTTGGTTGTGAGGTTTTTTGATGTTGTGATTAGGTTCTCCCATAGGAGTTTCCTATTGGCTAAAATATTACTAGCATAGATCGCAGAGAAGAGCCATAGAGGGTGGTTGGGACTTACCTTTACCATTGCATGGAAGCCTTGAGGGGTCGTGGACACTTCTTCCACTGCCACATACTCTTCTTTCCACATGAACACTATTTCCCTAGAGAGCCCTACTGCAAGAGACTGGATGATCATATCAAATTGGAGCTCTTGAGCCAGTTTCTGGTGGTCTGCCATTTTTGTTTCAAGCAGAACAAGCATGGCCGGCTTGTGCATTTTCACCATTTCCATACAGTGCCTCTTGAATTCGGCACTATTTCCCCCTAACATTCCATATGATGTAATTCATCAGTGGAGTTGGGGGTGGTTGGTGAGGTCCCTCTTGAGGGTTTCTTGGTCATTGCAGACATTTTGTTGGAGGTGCAGGGGACTTCCTTTGAGGCTCAGCATTGGAATTAGATTCAGTAAGGGCTTGATTGGTCCGTGGGTTTGGATGGAGACCAGGCTCATTCCACACTTGACCATCGCTCTGGGATAGAGAACAACTATCACCTCGCTAGTTTCTGTGCTGAACTCTATCATTCTCACCGAGTCCAGTAGGATCGAGTCCGTTCGTGGTGTGGCATAGGTTGCTCCCTCTTCCTCTGGGGCATTTTTCTTCTTGAGGATCTCTAGGGCTTTGGAGATTCCTAATTTGATGTTGTGGAGAGGGGGTAAATTGCTCTTCTCTCTTGGAGCAGAAGATGATGGCTTGTGATGAGTTTGGTGGTCGATCATTACGAAGACCGGCTCCGCCGATGGATCTTCCTTCGTCAGATGTGGGAAGAATGGTAGGGTTTGGAGACTCGGGAGTATGTGGTTGCTGAGTGTTTGGGGGTCGGTTACCGATTAGTTGCTGTCTCTGTTGACCGTCGACTGCCATATGAGAGGCCCAAATGCCGCTAGTGCTTTGCTCAATGCTTCCACTGTGACTCTGGCTAGGTGAGCTGGGTTTTGTACAATCAGGGTGACTTTTTGATTGACCGGGGTGAAATTGTAAGAGAGACCCTGGCCCTGAAGAGCAACCTCCAACCAAGAAGACGGTTGGTGGTCCGGTGGTGGCGGTATGGAGGTGATGATAGTTGGTGGTATTTCATTTTCCATTTTTGTGTTTTTTTGCATTACTACTTTGGGTAATGAAAGGGGTGATCTTAAGAGACCGACGTTCCATCCGAACTCCCTTTAGTGTCAAATCTCGGTCAATGGAGGGGTTACTGAAAATTGGTGCTAGGGGTGTGGATTGGTCATTAATTGGGTATCTAATGGAATTGACAACTTGAGTCTTTTCATCTGGAGGATCGGGGCGGGGGGGGGGGAGGGGATACCCGATAGGGCACTTGATTGTTGGTGGCGACTGTTGGTATTTCCCCAGTAGAGATTGTTTCAGAAGGATTGGCAGGGGAAGCGTAGGTGAGTGTATTTGGGTGGTAAGATGGGCTGACAAGCGTGGGTTGGGAGTGGTACCCATTTGGAGAAGAGATACCGGCCCGATTGGGTGGCTCTCCATCTTTGGGATGAGGAATATCGGGTGATGGGCTCAAAAAGGCGCCTTGAACGAGGGGTTCATGATTGGGGTCAATGGAGTCGTCAGGACCGGGCCCCGCCTTACGTTTGGCGCTTGTATTGGGCTGGGCCCGCGTATTGGGTTTCGGTCCTTGTTGGGTCAGCCCTTGTTACTTGGTGGGGCTAGAGTTATTCATTGGGCCATTGGGCCTCTTTTGGGGATTTTGGGAGGGGTTGACTTTTTTCGAATTGTAACGCAGAGTTTGAGTTTGAAGGAATTTACCTGAGTTAGCATCGAACAAATTTACCTGTATGTTGTCAGCCTGCGGAGCTTGGTGTGGTTTGTTCAATCCTGCGCCATTTTTGTTTGTTGATTTTGCTAGCCCTTGCTTCCTTCTTCTTGGGAAGGTGGCGGTTTTCCACTCACTCTCCTCCGTCTGTACTAATTTCCTCTGCTGTGCTTCCTGAGGCTCTTGAGTTGTTTTGGGTGTGGCTTCCCGGTAATTGCAACCTGCTGCAATGTGTCCAATTCTACCGCAAGTGGTGCACAGAGTCCCTTCTCCTTCATAGATCACTTCCTGTTTATGGTCTCCTATTATGATCGATGTTTCAACTGGAGTTTCCAGTGGAACTTGAATACAAATTCTGGCATATCGTCCCCTGAGAGTAGAGGAAGTGCATTGGTCAATTTTTAATAATTTACCTAGTTTCCTTTCAACTTTTTCTAGGATATCCTTATCGTAGAATTCTGTTGGTAATTGAGGAAGCCGGATCTATATGGCAGTAGAAGTAAGGGTGGCTTCTTGAGGAACGAATTTTGGTTCCCATTTCCACACATATAAGAAATTTTCAGAGATGAACCAAGGTCCAAGGTGGAGAGCCTTAACCATACTCTCTTTTAAACTAAATTTGACTATGTAGAAGTTCCATCCTAGGTCAATCAAGATTAACTGTTCGGATGGCTTCCATAGTTCAATTAGTCTAGACCGAAGGAAATAGTGAGGCATCTTTCGCTTGAAGACCTTGATGATCACGGAATAACGCCATGGAAGGTAGAGGCACTTTTTGTCATCTTGAGAAAGGGGAATTGAGCCTTCTATGTGTTTTCCTTTATCAAGATCTGAATTTGGATGAGAGTCAACTTCATAGTAATCAGTTTGATGGCTCTCTGGTTTGTCCAAGAGCATTTCCTTATAGGAGTGGATTGGTAATTCTACATCCATTTGGTTGTGCTTATTCAGAGGTTCCAGTGGGATAGGTGGTTTGATTAATGGGGGATCCATGTTAGGAAGATATTGTTTCAGGAGTTCTTTTAGAGAGAAACTTTTTGAAAGTAGACGTCGGAGAAACATTTTATATGTCAAACCTTTCATCGAGTGTCCCCATCAACAAAACTTGCTAGAGCTTTTTATATCATGTATACTATAGAAAATGAAAACTAAATGGAGTTACTACTAATATTTATTTACTATTGCCCGTGCGAACATATTAAGCATTTCGCTTGTTTTTTTTTCTTCCAAGTGTTCTGGTGCCAATGGAATAGTGCTTCATCTATAGATAAGAAATTGGACTATCATAACCAGTAGGTTTTCGATACATCATGAAAAATGGTAGGATGGTACAATATCTGCAAAGGAGGACATAAAAATTTTTTACAACGCTACTGCTATCCAATCAGCCATAAGTAGCGATAACAACCCGGTATTATTAATGCAATACTATAAAATATAAAAAATGTGCATCTTCAAGCAAAGCAACATGCCTTTCCCTTTTGAGTATTAGCTACAGTGCCCAGCTTAGCAGTCACTCTTATTACACCAGAAACAGAAGCAAGCAACAGACAACGTAAGAGAGATTTTATAGTACCTTCAAAGACAAGTAAATATCATAAAGTACTGTCAAATATACAATTATTTGTGGCAACTTGAAAATTTAAAATATATTGAGTACACGATTTTGAATACCCTTGATTAGGAGGTGGCAGATTTACTCCTTTGAGTATTACGAAGACACGATATTAATAGCATACTTGTTTTGATCCTATAATTTTGTTTCCATAAAGCACAACAACAACAACAACAACAACCCAGTATAATCCCACTAGTGAGGTCTGCGCTGTTTCCAAATAGACCCTCGGCATCCTTCCCTCCAAGAACTCTCCACCTTGCTCTTGAGGTGACTCGAACTCACAACCTCTTGGTTAGAAGCGGAGGTTGCTTACCATTAGAGCTTACCATCAAGTTGCTTTCCATAAAGCACCTGAAGGCATATTAAAGAAAATGTATTTGGCTAGCAAAAATATTTGCCTCTTATTCTTTCTATTATTATAATGTCACAAATGATCATTGCTCGTACTTTCTATAAAAAAATATATGCAACCTTTTTTATGGGTTCCTGTAAAATGTAAATGCTATTGGGCACAATAAAAAGAAAAAACAGCAGATTTAGTTATAATAAATGATTGAGAAGCTTTGAAGCTGTTTTATTGTTTTCATTAATTCTTTCCAAGTAAGAAAGTGATGATATAACTATCTATCTATCTATCTATCTATCTATATATATATATATATATATATATATATATAAAGTTGGGAATAAAAAAGGTGATGTGGCATACTTCATAGTGTAGGAGTTCTATTTATCTTTATTCTCCTTTTTTTGACTTATTCTTTCTTTTTTTCCTTTATATATCTTATTTTTAAAAAAATTCACATCCCATAACTTACACCTCTTAATTAAGAATTAACATTGAAGAATGTAACGGTTCAGCATTAAAAAGAAAGGATTCAACCATTGCAATTGTAAAAAATAAAGTATACGGCAGTTTCAATTATGAAAATAATGACAGTAATTAAAAGCTACAATATTAATCTTTCTATTTATTCCATTTTTCCAGTGTTTTCTCTTCATCAAGTGCAGCACAAAGAACATACTCAACAGAGAAGAATTATCTCGCCTAACAAAGTAAGAGTTCATCTACAATTTCACATGGCTCTTCATTTGCTTGATATGAATTCTGACTTCTTAATAAGTAAACAAAATTTTGGGGAAGAAGATGAAATCTCTCTTATATTTAGTGAGAAAGTTTTTTATAATATATATTTTCTTCTCGAAAGGGACTCATTGGAAAAGCAAGAAGACCATATTTCACTGCCCTATATCACCAGACCATGGTGCTTACTCATGATACCATGTGTATGTTTTTGTTAATTCTTATTCTTCATCTTTCTATTTTATTAAGGTATGTTTATATTGTTTAACTTTTCAGTTTTTAATTGGTTCTATCAATCATTTTTCGAATAATTCTCCGAGAGTAAGTCTTATATTTTCTTTTATAGTTTCTTGACTGAATCTATATTAACTCTATTCTAAATATACTAGAAGTGTATATGCTGTAATATGTTAATACGTTTACACTCATATCAGTATGTGTACTAATATAGTGTGTGTGTGTGTGTATATATATATATATATATATATATATATATATATATATTCTTATTCTATTTTCTTAATTTATCGATTAAAATTCTGAACATATTTTTCAGATTTTTTATTTATTTATGTCTTATTTTATAAATTTATAAAATACTAAAAGACTAAAGATTCATGGCTTATGCCCCCGCTCCACACACTCTCACACTCTCGGATTTTGATTTATTAGTTTTGCAGATATTAGTTTATGAGATTTGGCTAACAGTCAATTATGCATTGTAGTTGTTCTTTTTCCTGAAATCTTATCT